AGCACGCCTCTTGCTTACAGAGTGCCTTATGCACCATCAGCAAGCAGCAGCAGCTTTCCCCAGGAGTTTAATTCCTCCCATCTATAGCTTAAGGGAAGAGCCAACAGGTGGAGCACCCAGGAAGTCCTTTCCCCTTTTATTTTAATGCATTTACTTTTAAAGTAACACTTTTCTTTGAGCCTGACACTTTTGCTCTCTTCTGCCTGATAACAGCTGAAAAGAAATAATCAGGGAAGGTGTCAGAGGATCTCCGCTTCTGAAGAAATTTAATTTAAAGCTCATCCCTGCTGGTTTTAAAGCTGCTATGTCTTTTTAAGCCCAGGCTTGGCAGGTTTCAGCCATCTCCTGTTTCCATTTGACTTCCCAAGCGATACACCCCAGAGAAGTTTACCCAACCTGCTCTTAAAGTGACAGGGCACTTGAACTTGACTGGCACTGCAGACAGGAAGGCAAGGAGAAAACTCGGTGTGCATACCTGCTTTCTTTCACCCTCGAGAAAGGATGCTTGCCAAGCTCACTGCTTGACAATGGTGGGAGACAGCGAACTGTGAGGGATTTCAAATCCCAGTCCTTTTTCAAACCATTTCCCAAATGGCAAGGTCACAGTCATAATCCCTGCGTTGACTGGAAGGAGTCAAAAAACACTTTTTTCCCCCTTTCTGTCCAAAATTGCAATAAAAAACAAGCAAACAATCATAGAATATCATTCATTTTCCACAGAAATGTAGAGTTTCTTTCTTTGTGGAAATTCAAAAGCAGTAACTGGGAAAAAAAATTGGACTGAAATCTGTAACACTTTGATTTGGAAACACCAGTGTGGTGTCTTATAGAAAATCTTGTGCCCCATACTTTGATTCTAGTCCTGATCAGACTTTCTTTATTCAAGAAAGGAGATAGTGCATCATGAACGTCTACAGCCATGACTTATATAGCTCTTAGTTAACAAGACCGGCCCATAATGAATGGAGACACGAGGTGTCGGAAATAAAACTCACATGAAGTGGCATTTCCAAGTTGAAATACCACTAGTGGCATTTCCAAGTTGAAATACTTTTACGGGATGGCTATTCTAAATTTCTCTCTGCCTTAGTCATACCAGAGGCCAGCACTGTGTGTCCTTAGTTTTGGGTCCCCAAGGAGCTACACATGAAGCAAAAAAGCATTCCCTTCACCCAAGACACCCAGCAACAAAAGTACGCAGTATCAGAAGCCTCTTTAATACACCCCTTCCTGCCTGATCAGAAAATAAAGATATATTTATGTAAACTCTACAAAGCATATAAATTAGCTGAGGCAAAAAAGAGTGGTCCTTTACCCCATGCAACCACCGACTCCGCAGTACCATCAGCCGTGTTGAGAACTGATGTAAAAGCCTATAATGGGCTCTGTACCGTGCAAATCCATAATTAAGGGGCTCTTAAAAATATGTCTTGTGGCAGAGAAAGTGCAGCAAATTCATAGCCTGAAGCACAGCTGTAATGTCATGAGATTCAGAGAGAAAAAAAAAAAGCCTTCCTTGGTTGTCATTTTGGGTTTCTTTTCTATATTTGGCAGGCAATGACACTAAAACACAGCTTTGGCTCCCACTGGGCTGGAAGTGCAGTGCACAAAATAAGCAGCAAAATTAAAAAGCAGCGTTGAATTTTCCAAGGATATTCGACGGACTTCTAATCAGCCTTCTCCTAAGTTTGGTTTGGGGAATTGCCAAACCAGCTCCTCCAGAGGAAGTCATCCTGTTTTTATTATTTGTTGGAGTTAGGGTAGCATTTACCAGTCAGGATCAGAACCCTATTTTGCTGGATAAAAGCAAAAGAGCTGCGTATGAGAAGCTTATGTTCATGTTTAATGCAAGACTTGGCAAGTTGGCTGGTATCTTGCAGCCATTTAAAGAGAGGTGGGTCTTCCTGCTCAGAAGTGCACCAAGGCTCATTCTGAAACAACTACGGTGAACCAAAAGGCATGACTGCGACAGGACGCGGGCTCCCCCTCTTGGACACAGTGCAGACTGCAATCAGGGGATCCAGACTCAGAGGCCTCAGCTGTTTTCGATCCACCTAATGTGACCAGACCCGTCACTACCCCGAGTAGACTCTCTCTCCTGGACAGCATGTATAGGGCTCATGGACTGAGTGGCATTCTAGGAAAACGTGTGCAAAAGAAACTATGGGACGTCAGTAATGCACTTGGAGGCAGCAGCTAGATTGTGAAGTCCACCCCTTTCAGAATAGGTGTGCCAGAAACAGCAGGATTTTGAAAAGGGGAGTACAGATGGTATAGGGTTTCATCCCATACAACAAAGGTAAAAAGAAACTAGAAGCTTTACTAGTATGTTAAGGGTCTAGGGCTATACTATTTAGTTTAATGTTGAGCCAAAAACAAATGCAACTTTGCTGAAATGAGTTAAAAACAGTCTGCAGGGCTGTGAAATAAGGGCTACCTTATCAGGAGTGGCTAGCAGGCATCAGGATTGCAGAAGAAAGGCTAATTTGATTAGTGGAACATCAAGACTATTAAAAAGGAAAGGGCCATTAATACCTGTTGAATGAAGTGTTTAGGAGTCAAGCAGATTTATGCACACACTTTAACTCTTCTGGAGCCATGTGCCAGTGCAACCAGACACGTACTGGTGAAAGCACCTAAACACAATGCTGCTTTCCTTAACACGCTCTACAATACTCCTTGTCCGAGAGCCAACTATACAGGCTGCAACGCCCTTCACCCTGCCACTGATGAATTGTGTCTTCAAACATACAGTGCTTGCCCCTGCCTTGCTGTAGTCCTGGTAGAAACTGCTTTCTTTTAGCATGAACCGGTGAGCACAGCCCAAGCGCACAAAAGCCACCTGCTGCTCTTTTACAGACTATCAACTCTTGCATTCTTTATACCCTGATCAGTCATGTTAAACAATAAGCAGGTGTCTGTGATCCAAGATGTTTGTATTGGAAGAGGACATGCTCTCTGGGGCACACGACCAGAGTAGCTGTCAAGGGCAGCCGTAATATCCTAATTGAAAGGTGAAATAGCACACTGACCTTCGACTGACACAATGCAACCCAGGTGTCCACTTCCATGGCTGCCTCTGCACAGAAGCCCCAATATACTGGGAAGTAGAGAGAGCTTAAGGAGGAGGGGAGGCAGTTAGAGTGCATTTGGCTCTCAAGAAACTGTGGCACAGATCTCTCTCAAAGATATGTGGTGCTGGCAGTAAAGAAGGTGTTTTTTTCACTGCCATTGCATCTGCAAAGTGCCAGCCCAGAGAAATACAGATATGTTCAGGGTGGCAAACAGCCTAGTTCAATGCCCAGCTTGTCTTCAGTTCACTGGGACAATTTTTCCCCACATACTTTGCAGACATCGCTAGGGAGAAGGAGGAAGGGGAAGGCAAGAGTTTGTTGCAGTCAGAGTTTGGAGTTGAGAAAGCTGTCTTGTCCTGTTCGTATAAATCGTTTTAAAAATTGTTGTTGCTTGGAAAGACGAGGGAAGAGGAGGGCCGCTGCTCAGTGCCTCAATTCAGGAGGGCAGGGTGACAGATATTAAGTCTACAATTGTCTAACCCCTAGTTAGTCAATGAAGAAAACATTGCTTAACTACCTGAGGAGTCAGGGTCACCCCATCCCCACTTTTAGGGAAAGTTACTGAACAGGTAGCTACCAAACAGCTCCAGGTGTCTCTGACTGACATCAGTTTCTTGGCCCTTTCTCAGTCTAGTTTTCATCTTGGATACAGCAAAAACTGCACAATGGCCTTGGTTGATGATCCTGGCCTGAAGATCAGCAGGGAAAGTAACCAATCTTACTAATCTTTTAGCAGCTACTGAGAATGCCTACACTTATTTTAACAGTCAGTGCACCCTTGACTGTAGTCAATGAGCTCCGTTTACTAGGAAACCCTCCATCCTTCATTAAACAGGATACAGTACTGAACAAAACGCAGCATGCAAATTTGGCAGGTAATGTGCTCTCCGTGAAAGTCATCACCCTGGCTCTGGAGCGGCTGGGAACTTGAGATGGGGGCAGCTCGCTCTGGAGCCAGAGTAGAGCCACAATCTGTTGCCTGCACAGGGGATCGCGGCTCTGCCCCAGCTCCAGACCAGGCTGTCATCACTGCAAGGAGCCGGGGCAGAGCCGTGATTCCCTGCCTGCACGCCTCCACCCGGAGTGCACAGGCTTCAGATCGTGGTTCTGCGCCGGCACCGGAACAAGCTGCAAGTTTTGTGAAACTGCCTCCAAGAGACAGCTCATTACAGTAAAACCTTACCTGTCTTGTTACCCATCACGTGGCTTCTGGTGGTGATGAAACTAGTTCCCAACAAGTCAATCACAACAAAGGCACAACTCTACGATAGGCAACTGCTATATTTATTAGGAAGCCTCAGTGATCAGTCTCAGTGTCCTCACCATTCACTGACTGTGGAGACGGGCACACGCTTAAAACCTGGTTTTTAAATTCCTGTATTTCTCCAATCTTGGGAAAAAACAAACAAACAAACAAAAAAACCAAACACATCCCCCTTCTGCTCCACATTCAAAATGAAGCCAAGGTTGCAATTTGAACACATCTAGCAAAAAGTGTTCATAATAATAAGACTTTAAATCTGAGATTTAAGTTACATAGCTGCTGTGACTTTCAGCCACCTAATTACTAGGTCTTCTTGGAAGATCTGCTTTGCTTCAGTTTGAGTTATTTGTGGTATTGCAGCAGTTTGGAGCTCCAGGCAACAGGACGCATTCTTACGTGCTGTACAACATGATGGACAATGAGTTCGTTATGAGCATAGATTTACCATGTCTTCTGTTATGGCAGGATTATAGCTCACCAGATTTTGAATGGTGGTATTAGGACACCTGCTCTCAGTGCAGAGACAGCAGGGAGACTAGCTGCATTGTTTTCTTTTGAAAAAGCACAAAACTGCTTTTGGTAAATAAGGACACAAGTTTCTGCAACAGAGTCTTTATGGAGTGTGTACATATATATATTTTTTATAGAAACATCATGTAACATAAGTTTCCCCAGCCAATTTTAATTCCATTATAATGAAAACAACTTAAACTCAGTCAGTTTGTTATAGCTTCTCCTACTCATTTACAGGCACCAGGTTGATCTATTCCTGCAATTTCCAGGATGCATTGGTAATCATTTACAAGAAGCATCTCTCACCAAATTTGTTTTCAGAATGCCAAATCATTGCAGCAAGTCCTATCATTTGCAGTATTTCAAAAACACTCAAAGCAATGCACCAACCGGTAAAGGTGGAAGGAGAAAATTAAGACAATAAGCTGGAAAATAACGCAATTTGCAAGTTACAAAATTATGAATATACATTTTCATAGGGAATTACAATTACTCTCTTCAGCAAAAATATAACTCTGAAATATCGACTCAGCCACTGCATGGGCCGTTGCCTCACCTTTTAGATCTCAAGTGAAACATAGTTTTTAAGTTTTTAAGTTTTAATCCCCCAAACTTTCAGCAACTGTAAAAGTAAACCCCATTTACGAGGGTTACATTGCATAAAGCTCAGCAGCTTTGGACAGAATATCTGGATTCAAGTTTACACATCCAGGTGCATGAATCAATAGGATTCACCCTGTAGATGCAGCGATGTTCGTTTAGTGGACGGCATACATTTCTACCTGCAGCTTAGATGAAGTATTTACCAGCCACTAATGGCCAAGTAAGAGTGCTTTTATCCCCACAACCCTACCCAACCCCAAAAAAGTCCTGGGTGTGTGCACAAATAGCTACTAGACCCTACTTAAAGCATCATATATTATGCAGTACTTTACATACGCCAAAAATCAAAATTTCAAACTGCTCTTAAAGCTTCCAGGTAGAGTGGTGGGCTGTGTTTATTTTAGCAACTGCTACCTTGGGATGATTTAAAGCGAGAAAAAGAGTCACTGAGTTTCAGTAATTCAAAATATATATTAATTTTAGTGCTGAATTTATTAATTTGCTACGATTTACAATCAGGTGATCATGTCTGAACAAAGGACAAGCTGAAATAAAAAGTGTATGCCCTTAAAGTCCAATTTAATTAAAAAAAGACTCATGTCAGTCATATCAAGGTGATCAAGCGTCGGGGACAACAAGCGTAAGAGCCAAGGTGTTGTACTGACATTTGGATGACAGAATATTCCAGAGGATTTTCTTTTACAGCAATTTCCTCTTCTCAAACTCCTTCAAAGAGAGAACAAGCAGACACATTACAGTTGTGACAAGTGTTCTCAAAGAGCTCTAACCATCAGCAGAGATAAAAACATAGGCAAAAATGCCATCTAATGAAGGCATTTTGAAGAAATCCTGCTCTAAATTACCCTTGCTTGAGTGTAATATTTCAGGGAGACCAATGTAGTGCTTCAGCTTGTCATCTACTGGCGGAAAGCAAAGCTATGAATGACAGGAAAGCTCATTTTGGTTGACAATTACTTAAGTAATACGTAGTGCTGTGAAAATACTGTAGTTACTCTTATGTACCCTTTATTTTTAAAAAACAACTGTCCAAATAAAAAGTCAGATTTGATATTTGTGGGGAGGAAGGAGAAAGTGACACTCCCATTTCTATTGTGTATTTAAAACTATTCTGCTGGCTTTGTTTTAAATTTGAGGCTGATTTTTTGAGTAACACCGCCCCCCCTGCCATATAGAGCTGATTTCTTATGCCACTCTCAGCAGGTGCAGGGAAAGGAGGAGGAAAAGGGGAGAGACATGGAAAGGAAATCATTAACAAAAAACTACTCCCACTGCTATAAGCAAGCAAACAACATGCCTTAAAAATAATAAATAAATAAAATCAAAGTATGGTCTTGGGTGACAGCAACAGTGAAGACTTGGTACCCAGTTAAACACAAGCAGATGGTATCATGGTGGGGAGAAGTAAGCTCCACAGCTCAAGTTCAATAAAGTGTTTTTTTACAGCAGACTTTCCCTGCCTCCAACATCTGTCAAACTTAAAAGGTTTACCAATATTTTGTCACTAACATTTCAGCTGGATGAGGCAGATGTATTGCAAAGCAGCTTTGGTTAATATAAAGAACATAAGAATTCCTGTACTGGGTCAGACCAAAGAGCCCATATAGCTCAGTGTCCCATCTCTAACAGTCTTGCCCTGCAGCAGCAGCCTCAAGAAGGATGCTGCTGCCTCCAGGTAGAACTGCCCCAGGTGCCTCCATTTTCAGAAGGCATCTCAGAGCCAAACTGAAAAGAGCTGCAGCAGAAACAGTGTGCCTACCCGCATAATGTAATGCAGGCAGATGTGCCTTTCTGCTGCAGCCACTTCTTAGTTTGGCTCCATTCTTTAAAGTATATTGCACTTTTTTAATTTTTTTGGCAAGAGACTAGACAGTGCACATTTTGACAGAAACACGGGCCAAAAAAGCAAAAAAATAGTATAGATCTTTGCTAGTTATCTAGGCAGTTCTCTCAGAAGTGTTAGACAAAAGCAAAATACAGTTGTAAAGGGACTATATATGCACAAGGGGACGGTTTGAAGGGGAGGAATTGGAAAGAGGATTTACATTTTTTGTATGAATGATTGATTTCAGCTCCATGCATATGCTCAGGGTTCAGAATTATTCTACATGCTTAGAAAAAAAAAAATCAATTCTTGTGGGAAAAAAATTAAAGGGCATTCTCTCATCTAGAGATTAAATTTGTTATTTTAATGTGACATTTAGTTTCTATAAATTAGAACTTGTTAGTCCATTGTGATCCAAATATTATAGTCTCTCCATTTTGTTACATGGCTTTGACAAGACATGGGACAATATATAAGACTGCCAGCGTGCACAAAAGCCTCAACATTTAAACAGCAGCTGCAGTTTTTGTTTAGTAGAGCCATTGCAACTCTAGACACAATTCTGAATTGTTTCAGCTGAGGCACTGCACACTGGACCTGTCTGCAAAACAACCTTCTCCACCTCCAGCAACAAACAAGGCTTTTAAGCATCTTGTTCTGCTTATCATAGCATCATAGTACTTAGGGTCAGAAGGGACCTAAACAGATCAAGTCCGACCCCCTGCCTCGGGCAGGAACGGATGCCGGGGTTATATCACCCCAGCCAAATATCTGTCCAGCCTCCTCTTGAGGACCCCCAAGGTAGGAGGGAGTACCACCTCCCTTGGGAACCCATTCCAGAGCCTGGCAGCCCTAACTGTAAAGTAACGTTTCCTGATGTCCAGCCTGAACCTTCTCTCTGACAATTTGTGGCCATGATTCCTAGTAACCTCGGGTGGTGCTCGGGGGAACAGAGCCTTCCCCAATTCCCGCTGGTCCTCCCTGGTGAGTTTGTAACGGCCACCAGATCCCCTCTCAGCCTTCTCTTGTGGAAGCTAAATAGGTTCAGGCCCTTTAGCCTTTCTTTCTTTGACTTGTGGAAGCTAAATAGGTTCAGGCCCTTTAGTCTTTCTTTCTTCGACTAGCCTGCCCTGCTGCCCCTTGACCATGTGAGTGCCCCCTCCCAAACCCTCTCAGAGCTAGCCACATCCCTCTTGAAGTGCAGCACCCAGGAATGGATGCAGTGATCCAACTGCAGTCTGACCAATGCTGCATTCTTGAGGAAGAATCAGCTCCCTGGAACTGCTTGTGATGCATCTGTAGATGCACGACAAGGTGCGGTTAGCCTTACTGACCGCTTCCTCACATTGGCGGCTCATGTTCATCCTGGAGTCAACAGTGACGCCAAGATCCCTGTCACCGTGTTGACAAGGGTGTTCTCCCCAGCCTATAGGCGTGTAGCTGGTTCATTCTCCCCAGGTGCAGTACCTTGCACTTGTCTGTGTTGAATTCTAACCTATTGTCATCCACTCACCTTTGTAATTTGTCTAGATCTAGCTGGATTTTGTCCCTCCCCCCAGCGTGCCTACCCTGCCCCACAACTTAGTGTTGTCAGCGAATCTGGACAGCGTACATTCCACACCCACATCCAGATCTCTGATAAAGATGTTGAATAGTACAGGCCCCAGGACCGAGCCCTGGGAGACTCCACTGCCCGGACCCCTCCACGTCGAAAATGACCCATCCACCACCATTATGTACATGCATGTTCCATAATTTCAAAGAACCCAGGTTGTCCAAATACTGACCTTGTGCATAGTGCTACCTAACTGAGCAGGAGACATGCTCACAACAACGCCAGCATTTTGAAGTGCAGCAATCTTTTCTTTAGCTCCGCCTTTCCCCCCAGCAATGATTGCCCCAGCATGACCCATCCTTCTGCCTGGAGGAGCTGTCAGGCCAGCTATGAATGACACCACCGGCTTGGCATTAGGACCCTGTGGTGAAAGAGCAAAGATTGTTTATATACTGTTAAGAGACACTAACCACAGACATTTGAATTTGAGACTCTTACAAGGAAGCAGTGGCCTGCAGGGATGAAAACAGCTTTGCTCAGAAGGGATATGTAAACAGTCATCAATTTAAAACAGTTCCCATAAAGGGCAGGCATATATGATTCACAAAAATAATCAGAAAGTTAGCTGGCAAACAGCATTATAGGATTGAGATCAAAAACTGATACCCTGGTCTCTGGAGTCTTTACACCTCATCTTTAATTGGTTTTAACTAAATTTTCAATATTTTTAGTTTGGTCTCTAATTCTCAATTAAATGAATTTCTCTTAAGTGGCAAAAATGTCCAGAATGCCTTAACTGTACGAGGACAGCACGCTTTGGGACTTACGGAGTTATTTTCCTTCAAGAATGCTGCAGCATCTTCTTCAGCATTACCTCCAATCTCACCAATCAATATAATCCCCTCTGTATGAGGATCCTTCAGGAAGACATCAAGGCAGTCAATAAAGTTAGTTCCATTGAAAGGATCTCCCCCAATCCCTAGAAAGAGGAGTAAAAACAGGAGCATATTTACTTTCAGACTAATATCAGGACTAACTGATCCTAACCAAGACCGGAAAGACTCTAGCAGGAACTATAGCCACACACAAACCTAGGCAGCCCATGCACAGTTCCTGTAAACTAAGATACAGGTATACAGAAGGAAAATATATATAATTCCACTTTATAAGGAACAAAAGTATAGGCCAATCACATGCCTTCTCTCAGATGAGAAAGACTGCAATAGTGCTGGGATCATTTATGTTCCAGTCCATACCAAATATTTTCTGGAGATGTGGGGGAACCTACGTAGGTACTCAAAACTTGTGCTGAAATACCAGTCTTTACTGCACACAAAAATAATACACTTTTACCATGCTAACGCATCTTCATTTCCCCCCCACTATGAATTCTCACAGAAAGAGGGCCTCTGTGCAGCAAGGTTAACCTCAGGTGCTCAAAAAAATACAGATAGACGAGGTCAATGTTAGAGAGGTAAAAAACTAGCTGGATTTTGTCTCCACTAGGATATCCCCATGAAGCATCTAACTTGCATTAACCATCTTGCTATACCACCACTGTAGAGAATTTAGTCCAATAAGCATGCTAAAGCTAGTCTCCATTTTATATTTAAAAAAGAAACCATGCTAGGTTCATGTGTATTCATGGTTCTTAGTGCAGTTCTGCTGTCCGGGCTTTTAACCAATTGAGAAGACGAAGGTTTGTTATATTCTGGCACAGTACCTGGATACCTTGGGCAAAAACAATGCAGTATTTCTAAATACATTTAAAAGCTATTCAGTGTTTTCCTACTAGCTTCTACAATGCTACATGCTGTAGTTTTCAATGAAGAAAGAAGCTCAACCAGTGCACAGACTGTTTCTTCAGGAAGATACCAACCAACACAAAAGGACTGTCCCAATCCAGCTTGCGTTGTCTGATGGACAGCTTCGTATGTCAGGGTGCCAGATCTTGACACGATACCTTAAAAGAAGGAGACTGGTTACCTTCTATACGTTAAAAATCAGTTGGCTTCTGCTCATTTCCCATTTCCCTAGAAAACAAATTTCTAGTTACTCTAGCAAAAAAACATATTCTGTTTAATATTTGATTTGTGTCACTCATTGCCTGGTTGGTTTTCTTGATGTTCAGCCATCTGAAGCTGTCCACTAAGTCTACAGCATCAAATAAGACAGCATTCCTCACACTAGAGCAGGGTGGCAAACATCCGGCCAACCAAGCTGCTCATAGGTTGGATGACTCCCCTCCAGATATGACTTACAGGGCTTCTATCCACAGCTGCTGAAGCTGTGGTAGCAGCATGAGCCAGAAACTGGGGATAATGCCATAGCTGCTTGACCTCCTCCCTTCCCCCTTCACACACACAAATTTCAAGGTTTTGATCACTGCTGGATAGAAAAATCAGCATTAGTTCACACTGGGAAAAAGGCAGCGAGCTGTTTTAATCCCCTGGGAGCTGGCTGCAAGCTCCCCCAGCCACAGCAAGAAGCCCTGAGATTCCGATCTGAAGATAGGTCATCTAGCCTCAGAGAAGGAACACAGGCTAGATGACCCATCCCTGGCTGCTGGTAGGGGAAAATGGCCTGCTACTTCATTAAGTTTGACACCCCTGCGCTAGAACTTTACTATGAAGTCAACTTACAACAGCATTACTTCCTTCTCCTAAATGCATGCTCTACTGCTGTGCACGCCATATAGTAAGGCTGGCTGCAGTCTAGCAAAGGAACAGATTCCATATCTTTACCCTTAAAGCATTTTGCAATGGAAAATGCTTGCAGAAACCTAATTGCTTCTGTAGCTTATTACTGTGTCATTACTGCCGTTTAAGATTGGTGCCATGGCAGTACCCACAGGACCCAAGTCTGAGAGCTGCTCTCATACAAAGTCTCTGTTGTTACTTGTCATCTTGATGCAAATGATTTTTAAGCAATAACATATTATGATAGATTGTCTCATACAGGACTGAAGCCAAACTTTGTTAGCACTATAAAGAAGCTATCCAGAATATGGAAGACACCTGGGCAGCTCTCTTAGGGAAAGGAGTAGGCAACACAAATAATGTTATTACCAACACTTAGGAAGTCTAGATCTTTCAAGTCTATGTGCCGTTGAAGCAATGGAAAGTCCTCCCCCTTACAATTAATATCTCATTTGTAAAGTATGTGCAATCAACTATTCAGATCAGATATCTTTTAAGCAACTTCAGTTTAAAGATCAGAAGACTGGTGCTATTTTTATAGCTCATTTCTGTTGCCCCTTACAGCTACGATATCCCAACATAATTCAGTAACAGAAGGGAAGGATACTTATGACTACAGCCAAGGACCACACAGCATTACTAGAGAATGGTACCAAAAAAAGTGATATACGGCTCATGTCTGCACTCGCACAATCCTTGAACTACTGCTGGCCAGGCAGACGTGAGAGATTTAAGACTATCACATAGTACTTTACGTGCCTTGCACTTAAGATTTCTCTCTAAAACATTTTATGAGTACAAGATATTTTCAAGAGCTTTTTAACAGTACTTTGATTCAGAAGAAAATGCAAGGTGATGTCAGCCATTTCTGTCTTTTATCATCAGGCCAATATTTTATGATTCCATCTACAAAAAGGACATAATTGAACTCCTCTTTGATTTTTCAATTTCAGATTTATAGGTACTTCTGAAACTAGGTGTGTGACTAGGGTGTTAATATTTCTTACTGCGCTAACCCAGAACAGACTAGTCTTTAAAAAAGCTGATGCCAAGAAGCTAAACACTAACCAATAAGGAGTAATTTGCACTATGATAATGAGCATCACAGTGTAGCTAGGGTACTCCTTTGGGTCCTATTCACCCTGATGCAGCATGTGATGATTTCTCGTTAGGATGCACCGTCTCAAAAGGCATTAGACACCTCTCTTCCCCAGCGTTCTTTTTGTCTGATGCAAAGCACTAACATTAGTAAGAGTGCTGCCACTGAGGCAGGTGCTTACAAACCTGAAGTGTCTCACCGGCCACATTCTGCAGAAGTCCTCTAAGTCCCAATATTTGTTTTTGAGATTGTATATAGGCCATGCCAAGAAAAGCCTATGTACATGTTTTGTTTTGTGTTGTTTTTTTAATAAGATCATGGCCTAGTGTTTTAAAGCAGGGACAACGAAGTCAAGAAAACACAATTCTACACAGCAAGGCATAAACCAAATTTGGACAAGTTCTCCAACTTCAGAAGCTGGTATGATTTGTTACCTGTTCATCACATGATGAACGCATGCTATTTTACCCAGTAAGTATTCAAACCAAAAGTAAATTTGCTTCCCTTCCCTACATAATGTTAAGCTCCTTTCAGGTACAAGTTCCCCGGCCTCCACTGTCAAGGCATTGAAAGATTAAAGATTAGAAGTGTAGTGCTTGAAAATCCTCAGATAAAGAAGAGTTAAGGAAAGATAAGCCAACTACGTTACCTCAGAAAATCCCTTCCAGTACCTTTACTTCTAATACTACTGCTCAAGCAACATCCATCAAGATAGAAATAAGGGCTTTATTACCAGTGCAATCACTCGTCCGTCTGCATTTACACATGAACAAATTCAATAAATTACTACATAGCACCTCAAATGCCTTAAGGGTAAGAGTTGATTAGCAATACGTTAAGTTACATCATAAAGGATGATTTCATCTTACAATAATGCAAATTAGAAAGTAAAACTTACCAATTCTTCCTTTCTTGTGAATGTGACCTGGCATGATGCCAATTTTACATTCTCCAGGCTAAAGAGAAAAGAACTATAGATCAAAAATCAAGACAAAAGAGTCTGGAGTATCAGTATCATTAAAAATGGTCCAGTCTAAGGCTTTAAAACACACAACATCTTTGCTTTATAAAACTTACATTGATGACTCCAGGGCAGTTTGGGCCAACTAATCGAGTCTTTTCTTGACGAGTCAGTCTGTGCTTAACCCGAACCATGTCCTGCTGTGGAATACCTTCAGTAATGCACACAACTAAAGAGATTTCAGCATCAATAGCTTCATTAATGGCAGCAGCAGCAAATGGAGGAGGCACATAGACAACGGAGGCAGTAGCACCTGTTTGCTCTTTGGCCTAAGGGGTACATTAACAAAAACGCATTACAAACACATGATAAGAAACTTGAGAACATCTAGCCACTAACCAGTTAAAATATTCCTGTTCATGAACGTGATCTAAAAAGAGGCAAATTAAAAAACACACAAAAACCAAAACAAACAAAACCCCCAAATAAAAAACAGAAGATTCAGGGTATGAAGTCATACCAACTCAATACTTAGCAATTTTACTTAGGTTGATGGGACATAAGGAGTAGAGGAGTAACTGCAAAACAGATGGCTAGAAACAGGCGATATAGTGTTTACACGGTATACAGTAAAGACTACTCATCAAGTCACACTTCTTTATTCCATGCGGTAATTAGAAGCTAGAGTCACATGCACAGAATATATGTGTAAACAATTCAACTGACATCTAGCCCCTTTAATTTACAGAAGCACTTGAAAAATGGATTTTACAATGAAAACCAAATTCAGATTGGACTTTTGTGATTGCTCCCCCTATTATATAGGCTGGACAATTTTATATTTTACTAGTACTTAAACCAGAAAGTTAAGTCATATCTCTGCTATTACTCCCTCATGTCATGTCTAGATGCTTAAAGGGGGCATTCATGTATCCAAATCTGACAGCCTTTTTGCCTCCATCCCTTCCTTTCTAAGATTTTGTCCACTCTTGGAAAATTACCTCCTTCACAGAATTAAAGACAGGCAAGCCCAAATGAGTTTGTCCCCCCTTCCCAGGTGAAGTTCCTCCTACTAGACTGGTGCCATAATCCAGCGCCTGTTGGCTATGGAAGGTGCCCTGTAGAAAGAGGCAGAGAATTTCATAAACAATAAAACTCAAATCTTTGAAGACTAAAAAACTTTGAAAGCATTTTTAAATGTCTTTTTAATGCAAGACCTACTATATCCAAGACAAAGTAAAAACTTTATCCATAAGACAGACAGACATGTCAAAATCAGAGCAAGATGATTTGGCTGCACACAGTAAAAAACAACGAGCTTTAGTTAAAGTGCCCCTCCACCATTTTGAAGCACAAAGACGCTGATACATGAGACAGTCCAGGTTCTTTAATTAGAGCGGTT